CGGCCCCCGGCAGCCCCCCACCCGCTGACTCCCTGCTGGTGCGACGCATCGAGGAGCAGATCCAGAGGTGAGGACACGGTTTGGGACCTGAGAGACCACCCGGTGCCACCCCCTGCCCTGGGCAGGGACACCTCCCACCAGACCACGTTGCTCCAAGCCCCCTCCAACCTGGCCTTGAACCCCTCCAGGGATGGGGCAGCTTCTCTGGGCAACCTGGGTGTTGGTGGGTGGTGGGTTGGTTGGTGGTGGGTTGATGGTTGGTCTTGAGGACCTTAAAGGTCCCCTCCAACCCAGGGAAGTGGTGGAATCGCCAGAGAAATCACAGAAGGTTTTGGGTTGGAAGGGACCTTAAAGCCCATCCAGTTCCATCCCTTCTAGTGGCTGGGATGTCTTCAATGAGACCAGGTTGCCCAATGCCCCGTCCAACCTTGGCCTTGAACCCCTCCAGGGATGGGGCTTCTCTGGGCAGCCTGGCCCAGGCTCTCACCACCCTCAGAGGGAAGAATTTCTTCCCCAAAATCTCATCTCAATCTCCCCTCTTTGATGCCCCATCCCTGGAAACCTTCAAGGTTGGGTTGGATGGAGCTTTGAGCGACCTGGGCTGGGTGGAGACGCCCCTGCTCATGGAGTCATGGAAGGGTTTGGGGGGGAAGGGACCTTAAAGACCATCTAGTTCCACCCCTGGACACCTCCCACCAGAGCAGGTCTCTCCAAGCCCCATCCAGCCTGGTCTTGAACCCCTCCAGGGATGGGGCAGCCACAGCTTCTCTGGGAAACCTGGCCCAGGGTCTCACCACCCTCAGAGTGGAAAATTTCTTCCCAATAAAAACAAATTTCTTCAGCCCAGTGTGCGGGGGGACTTTCTGGGCTGCCAGCCCACGTTGCCACCTCGTGTGGAGCTTCTCACCCACCAACACCCCCAAGTCCTTCTCCTCAGGGCTGCTCTCCTTCCCTTCTCCCCAAAACCTGGGTTTGTCCCTGGGATTGCCCCGACCCAAGGACAGGACCTTGCACTTGGCCTGGTTGAACTTCATGAGGTTGTCACTGTCCCACCTCTCCAGGTCCTTCTGGGTGGCACA